CACGGACCCCTGGAGCCAGGCCAGCCAGGCGGTCCCCATCGCCGCCTCCATCTTTTCGCTCTCTCTGTCTCTCTCCCTCCGCGAGCGACGGGTGCCCCCGGTGCCCCGCTGCCGACGACGAGATAAAGAGAGGCGACGTGTAGAGAGCCCCGCGCTCGAGAGCCAGTCGAAGAGAGAGGGCCTTGTCGTGTCTAGCGACCGTGGCCAGCGGCGAGAGAGACAGAGACAGGGCCGCGTAAGACGGTGGCGGGATAGAGAGACAAAGGACACAAGCGGCAGCCATCAGGCAAGGGAAGGTGGAAGGTGCACGACGACCTACATTTCCCCCGCGGCCAAGCGGCGAGGCACGGCGAGGGACGCCCTGCACCAGCAGTCGCCTCGTCTCCCTCGCACTCGCGGGGCGTCATGTGAGGGTGCGAGAGAGACAGACAGAGCGACCAAACCATTCTTCGGAATCGCTCGGCAGCGCGGCCCGCGGATCGGCGAAACCAGTGCTGTCGTCCTTCCATGCCTGTCTGTCCGTCTGCATGTCTGTCTGTCTGTCCGTCCGTCCGTCCGTCCGTCCGTCCGCCCCGCGATACATATTCCCGCTGGCCGCGGACTCCACCCGCGTGCAAGTCTCCGCCGCGCCGCGCTGCGCCCCGGCCCGGCTCGGGCCGCGGCGTGGCGCCGAACGCTGGGCCCGGCAGGCGGCGGCCGTCGCCGTGCTCGGCTCGAACCGCCCCAGCGGCCCCAGCACTGCAGCAGCACCATAAGTGGAAAAGAGGGGTACGGGGCCAGCCTCCGCGAGATGAAGACGCCGCCGCCGCGGCAGGCGTGTGCGTGTGTGTGTGAACGTGTTGTGCCTCGGTACCAGTGCGTGGACTACTTCGGCCGTCAGTTCTGCGACGCATCAAACCCATCAACCCCACGGCGGCAGCAAACAGCAGGCCGACCATTCCGAACAGTGCCTTCGTCGCTCTGTCTCTCTCTCTCACAGCTGGCCTGCGGGAGGGAGAGGGTGGTGCTGCCGCGCGAGCCGCGTCGCCGTGTGTTTCTCTGTCGCACGGCTTCACTGTTTATCGGGCTGGACACAAAGGACATGCACGAGGTCCCCGAGGCCCGCGAGGTCCACCTGTCCGCGGCGTGCATTATGTGTCCCTTTCCCCTATCGCAGTCTATCGCGGCGGCGTGGCGGCCTGGCGTGGCGGCGGCGTGCTCGGTGAAAGGAGAGTCTCGGGGACGGCGGCGACGGCGTCGCCGCGTCGCGGGGACACGCCGCGGGGACACCGTCGGCCACCGTCCCCCGCAGTGCAACGTATGACGCCCCGCACGCCGCGAGCCCCGCGAGCCTGCAACGCGGCCTAGCTTTGCCTCAGAACAGAACAAAGGCGCGCGCGCACACACACACACACACACACACACTGACTGCGGCGTTAAGGGGACGATGCACTGCACCGCTTGGCGCAATAAATTCAGATTCGAGGCAGCGGCGCGGCGACACTAGGAAAAGTGCGGCTGCGGCGCGGCGTTGGTCATTACCGCTTGGACACAGCGGCGCGGCCTGGAACGCCCCGCCCCGCCCCGCTCCGCCCCGCCCCGCCCATTAACGGCGATCAGACAAGGTGGGAAGGCAAGGCGCCCCGAGTCGCAGGCCAAATCAAGCCCTGCCTGGCGTTGCCTGGCGTTGCCTGGCCAACCCGTTATCTAATCCGGGTCCGATCGGCGCGTTCGTCTATCGGCATGAAATATCGTCCCGTTTCCAATGAGCTAATGAGAAACACGCTCACGTCGTCGCCGAGCCGGCTTGGCTGGCTTTGCATACAATGAGGGGAACCCGGGCCGGGCGCGGCTTGCAGTGGCGCAGCCTCGCGCAGCCCTTCCCGACCCGGCGCAGAATCCCAGAACCCCACTGACCCCTGCAGAGACCCCTGGCACGGTGACGCGCGGAGGCACAGAGCGGGGAGGACGCTGCGTCCAATCCAAGCCGGGTCGTCGTACTCCCTCGACGGGGCGGTGGTCTTTGGACCTTCCCCTGGCAGGCCTTTGCTAGGGTGTGTGATTGATCGCCTTGGTTTGGGGGCGGCGTTGCCGCAAAGTTGGGGCCAAACAGACAGACAACCCTGACTGCCTCCATCCTGGACGTCCTGGACGTCCTGGACACTCACCTTCTGCCATTGTTGCGTCCGGCGCCGTCGTCCTCGGGCGAGCAGGAGCCGCAGCCCACCAAGGCGCAGTCCTGCAACAGAGCAAAAGGTAAGCACGGCAGCAAATTAGGGGTTCGGCATCGGGAACCGAACCCGGAGGTCCCGCAGGGATCGCAGTCGGTTCACGGGTGGCTTCCCGCCGAAGAGGGGAAAGGCGAGCCCTGTGTTCCCCGCATGCCACGACGTTTCTCATGCTGGCCCCTTGGCTGGCCGCAGTCCACCGTCGGCGTCCCACAGTGGGCCAGAGGACCGGTGGAGGCGGCCAATACTCTACACGCGTTTTGAGCCGCAGAGTCGCTAAATGGGACTCGAACCGAACGTGTGACCCCACCAATGGACTGCTCTCCGAACGAGGAATCCGTTGGTGGGGTCACACATTCGATTCGGGTCCTGTTTAGCGACTCTGGAGCTCAAAACGCGTCCAGAGTTTTGGCCGCCTCCACCAAGCCTCCACCGGTCTTCCGGCCCACTGTGCGTTGACGTCCCGTCCCGCCCGCCGCGGGCCGCAACGCGCAACGGGAGCAGTGCACTGGACGACGCGACATGCAACGCGGTACATTTCGCCAACCAGCCGCTTTCGACCAAGGGCGGCCGCTTTTCCCAGCGGCACTGCCAGCAGCAGTCAAAGCAGCCAACGGCAGCCTGCCGCACTGCATTCCCACGACATTAACTCGCTAATTCGCGGCCCAGCCGTCGGGTTGGCAGAACTGAATCAAAATTAGAGGCTCGGCCCGATCGAGCGCGCGCGCCATCGCGTGTGTGTGCGTGTGTGTGTGAGTGTGTGTGTGCTAGTGTCCGCGCGGGCGAGAACAGACGGGGCGGAGGCTGCCGGGTCCATTTGGGACACCAGCTGTCGTTCCCGAACACAGGGCGCTGGCTGCGCGGGCTGCGCGGGCTCGGCGCGCCGAGCCCAGGTGCTAATTATCGTGTCGAGCTACCCGGCCTGCTTGGCCTGGACAGCGGTCTGCCGGGCGGGGCGAGGCGGGCCGAGGCGAGGCGCCAAACAGTGGGCCGTAACCACGAGGACGACGGGGACGTGGCCGACGTGGACTCGGATATTCACAATGGAGACTTAGAAGGGTAGGACTACCCAAGCGCATTCGGCAGCTTCAGCTTCACGGCGCCGTCCACTGCAAATCCGAGCGTTTTGCCCGGATCTGGCCGATTCCGGGCAAAGCGCGGCGCGGGAAGCGGGTTTCCGGGCCAGCCGGTCGGTTCGCTCCGGGAGGAGGGCAGCCCACCCGGCCGGCATTATAAACTTCCGATCGACTTCCGATCGGGCCGCTTCCGCGAGGCGGCGGCGGCCGGGTGGCGGCAAAACGGGTAGGCGGGTGGGAGACGCACAGTGGGCCAGAAGACCGGTGGAAGCGGTCAAAACTCTAGACGCGTTTTGAGCTCCAGAGTCGCTAAATGGGGCTCGAATCGAACGTGTGACCCCACCAACCCGAGTAAAAATAGAAGGCTGCAGAAAGGCTGACGCACGGCTGACGCATGGCTGTATGGACCGTTTTTTGGCTGTATGCATGGCTGCCGTGGCTGCCTTGCAGCCATGTCGCAGCCATAGCGACGTCCTGGACTTGCAGCCATGCACGCTGCAGTGGCTGGTCTGGCTGTTTCACGGAGCGCTTTGGCTGTGAAACGCTTCAGAAGCTGCGCACAGAAGCCTTTTGGCTGCCCTAAGCAGCCTATAAACGCTGCCACGCACAGCCAACTTAGCTGCAATGGCTGTAGGCTGCGCGTCGCAGCGTGTTAGCTGCTGGCGCCAGCCGGGCCGTGGCTAGACGTTACAGCCATGTAGGCTGCCACGGCTGTAGGCTGCTCGTCGCAGCGTGTTGGCTGCTGGCACCAGCCGGGCCGCGGCTGGACTTATCAGCCACGCGGGCTGCAATGGCTGTACGCTGCGCACTGCGCGTCGCAGCGTGCTGGCTGCTAGCGGCAGCCTGGCCGCGGCTGCACTTTACAGCCACGCAGGCTGCAATGGCTGTAGGCTGCGCGTCGCAGCGTGTTGCCTCAGAACAGAACAAGGCGCGCGCGCGCGCACACACACACACACACACACACACACACACACACACACACACACAGACTGCGGCGTTAAGGGGACGATGCACTGCACCGCTTGGCGCAATAAATTCAGATTCGAGGCAGCGGCGCGGCGACACTAGGAAAAGTGCGGCTGCGGCGCGGCGTTGGTCATTACCGCTTGGACACAGCGGCGCGGCCTGGAACGCCCCGCCCCGCCCCGCTCCGCCCGCCCCCCCCATTAACGGCGATCAGACAAGGTGGGAAGGCAAGGCGCCCCGAGTCGCTGGCCAAATCAAGCCCTGCCTGGCGTTGCCTGGCGTTGCCTGGCCAACCCGTTATCTAATCCGGGTCCGATCGGCGCGTTCGTCTATCGGCATGAAATATCGTCCCGTTTCCAATGAGCTAATGAGAAACACGCTCACGTCGTCGCCGAGCCGGCTTGGCTGGCTTTGCATACAATGAAGGGGGAAACCCCGGGGCCCGGGGGCGGCTTGCAGTGGCGCAGCCTCGCGCAGCCCTTCCCGACCCGGCGCAGAATCCCAGAACCCCCCTGACCCCTGCAGAGACCCCTGGCACGGTGACGCGCGGAGGCACAGAGCGGGGAGGACGCTGCGTCCACTCCCTCGACGGGGCGGTGGTCTTTGGACCTTCCCCTGGCAGGCCTTTGCTAGGGTGTGTGATTGACCGCCTTGGTTTGGGGGCGGCGTTGCCGCAAAGTTGGGGCGAAACAGACAGACAACCCTGACTGCCTCCATCCTGGACGTCCTGGACAAGGTCCTGGACACTCACCTTCTGCCATTGTTGCGTCCGGCGCCGTCGTCCTCGGGCGAGCAGGAGCCGCAGCCCACCAAGGCGCAGTCCTGCAACAGAGCAAAAGGTAAGCACGGCAGCAAATTAGGGGTTCGGCATCGGAAACCGAACCCGGAGGTCCCGCAGGGATCGCAGTCGGTTCACGGGTGGCTTCCCGCCGAAGAGGGGAAAGGCGAGCCCTGTGTTCCCCGCATGCCACGACGTTTCTCATGCTGGCCCCTTGGCTGGCCGCAGTCCACCGTCGGCGTCCCACAGTGGGCCAGAGGACCGGTGGAGGCGGCCAATACTCTACACGCGTTTTGAGCCGCTGAGTCGCTAAATGGGACTCGAACCGAACGTGTGACCCCACCAATGGACTGCTCTCCGAACGAGGAATCCGTTGGTGGGGTCACACGTTCGATTCGGGTCCTGTTTAGCGACTCTGGAGCTCAAAAAAGCGTCCAGAGTTCCGGCCGCCTCCACCAAGCCTCCACCGGTCTTCCGGCCCACTGTGCGTTGACGTACCGTCCCGCCTGCCGCGGGCCGCAACGCGCAACGGGAGCCGTGCACTGGACGACGCGACATGCAACGCGGTGCATTTCGCCAACCAGCCGCTTTCGACCAAGGGCGGCCGCTTTTCCCAGCGGCACTGCCAGCAGCAGCCAAAGCAGCCAACGGCAGCGGCAGCCTGCCGCACTGCATTCCCACGACATTAACTCGCTAATTCGCGGCCCAGCCGTCGGGTTGGCAGAACTGAATCAAAATTAGAGGCTCGGCCCGATCGAGCGCGCCATCGCGTGTGTGTGCGTGTGTGTGTGAGTGTGTGTGTGTGTGCTAGTGTCCGCGCGGGCGAGAACAGACGGGGCGGAGGCTGCCGGGTCCATTTGGGACACCAGCTGTCGTTCCCGAACACAGGGCGCTGGCTGCGCGGGCTGCGCGGGCTCGGCGCGCCGAGCCCAGGTGCTAATTATCGTGTCGAGCTACCCGGCCTGCTTGGCCTGGACAGCGGTCTGCCGGGCGGGGCGAGGCGGGCCGAGGCGAGGCGCCAAACAGTGGGCCGTAACCACGAGGACGACGGGGACGTGGCCGACGTGGACTCGGATATTCACAATGGAGACTTAGAAGGGTAGGACTACCCAAGCGCATTCGGCAGCTTCAGCTTCACGGCGCCGTCCACTGCAAATCCGAGCGTTTTGCCCGGATCTGGCCGATTCCGGGCAAAGCGCGGCGCGGGAAGCGGGTTTCCGGGCCAGCCGGTCGGTTCGCTCCGGGAGGAGGGCAGCCCACCCGGCCGGCATTATAAACTTCCGATCGACTTCCGATCGGGCCGCTTCCGCGAGGCGGCGGCGGCCGGGTGGCGGCAAAACGGGTAGGCGGGTGGGAGACGCACAGTGGGCCAGAAGACCGGTGGAAGCGGTCAAAACTCTAGACGCGTTTTGAGCTCCAGAGTCGCTAAATGGGGCTCGAATCGAACGTGTGACCCCACCAACCCGAGTAAAAATAGAAGGCTGCAGAAAGGCTGACGCACGGCTGACGCATGGCTGTATGGACCGTTTTTTGGCTGTATGCATGGCTGCCGTGGCTGCCTTGCAGCCATGTCGCAGCCATAGCGACGTCCTGGACTTGCAGCCATGCACGCTGCAGTGGCTGGTCTGGCTGTTTCACGGAGCGCTTTGGCTGTGAAACGCTTCAGAAGCTGCGCACAGAAGCCTTTTGGCTGCCCTAAGCAGCCTATAAACGCTGCCACGCACAGCCAACTTAGCTGCAATGGCTGTAGGCTGCGCGTCGCAGCGTGTTAGCTGCTGGCGCCAGCCGGGCCGTGGCTAGACGTTACAGCCATGTAGGCTGCCACGGCTGTAGGCTGCTCGTCGCAGCGTGTTGGCTGCTGGCACCAGCCGGGCCGCGGCTGGACTTATCAGCCACGCGGGCTGCAATGGCTGTACGCTGCGCACTGCGCGTCGCAGCGTGCTGGCTGCTAGCGGCAGCCTGGCCGCGGCTGCACTTTACAGCCACGCAGGCTGCAATGGCTGTAGGCTGCGCGTCGCAGCGTGTTGGCTGCCGGATGCAGCCGGGCTACGGCAGGACTAAACAGCCATGTAGGCTGCAATGGCTGTAGGCTACGGATTGCAGCATGGTGGATGCTGGCGGTATTCAGGCAACGGTCGTATTCCTTGATTAAAGGGCTATAAAAAATAGAAAAAAATAGACTGGGTGCGTGGTATGCTGATATTTGAGTTGAATACGTTAACATACATAGGCCATGCAAGTTTCGTAAAAATCGGGAAACTTTTTTGTTATCTTCGATATCTCGGGAACGGTAAGTTCTACATGAAATTACTTGGCAGATTTGGATCCGGAACGGTGTTCGGACTCTAGAAAATCTACAAAGGGCTCCATAGAACTTCAAAGGGCGTAACAGGGACCCTCAAAGGTCCTCATGGGGACCTTCATGAACTAAGGAGTGAAGCCTAGTAGCGATATGGACGCTGCCTATGGCATCCACGAGGCTGTAGGATGCGGCCGAGATGTGGCTCTGACCCGCAGCTTCATAGCTGCCGGGGGCAGCGTGGGCCGGGCGAAAGAAGGCTGCCTGGAGCATCCTGAAGGCTGCGGGGTGCAGCCTACAGCAGCGCCTCACAGCCTCCAGGCTTCCGGGGACAGCGTGGCCCGGGCGAAGGAAGGCTGCCTGGGGCATCCTGAAGGCTGCGGGGTGCAGTCTAGAGCAGTGCCTCGCAGCCTCGTGGCTGCTGGGGGCAGCGTGGCTCGCGAAGGAAGGCTGTCTGGCGCATCCTGAAGGCTACGGGGTGCAGCCTAGAGCAGCGGGGGAGCGCTTACTGGGCTCCAAAGGGACACTTCAGTGGCTGGCAGGTGCAGCCAGAGAGGCTGCACCGGCTGCGGATGGCTGTATTTTGGCTGACGTATGTCCGAATACAGCCAATGTCTGCAGCCATCCGAGTTCCATCCGCGCTTGCGTCCGGCGCCGTCGTCCTCGGGCGAGCAGGAGCCGCAGCCCACCAAGGCGCAGTCCTGCAACAGAGCAAAAGGTAAGCACGGCAGCAAATTAGGGGTTCGGCATCGGAACCGAACCCGGAGGTCCCGCAGGGATCGCAGTCGGTTCACGGGTGGCTTCCCGCCGAAGAGGGGAAAGGCGAGCCCTGTGTTCCCCGCATGCCACGACGTTTCTCATGCTGGCCCCTTGGCTGGCCGCAGTCCACCGTCGGCGTCCCACAGTGGGCCAGAGGACCGGTGGAGGCGGCCAATACTCTACACGCGTTTTGAGCCGCTGAGTCGCTAAATGGGACTCGAACCGAACGTGTGACCCCACCAATGGACTGCTCTCCGAACGAGGAATCCGTTGGTGGGGTCACACGTTCGATTCGGGTCCTGTTTAGCGACTCTGGAGCTCAAAACGCGTCCAGAGTTCCGGCCGCCTCCACCAAGCCTCCACCGGTCTTCCGGCCCACTGTGCGTTGACGTACCGTCCCGCCTGCCGCGGGCCGCAACGCGCAACGGGAGCCGTGCACTGGACGACGCGACATGCAACGCGGTGCATTTCGCCAACCAGCCGCTTTCGACCAAGGGCGGCCGCTTTTCCCAGCGGCACTGCCAGCAGCAGCCAAAGCAGCCAACGGCAGCGGCAGCCTGCCGCACTGCATTCCCACGACATTAACTCGCTAATTCGCGGCCCAGCCGTCGGGTTGGCAGAACTGAATCAAAATTAGAGGCTCGGCCCGATCGAGCGCGCCATCGCGTGTGTGTGCGTGTGTGTGTGAGTGTGTGTGTGTGTGCTAGTGTCCGCGCGGGCGAGAACAGACGGGGCGGAGGCTGCCGGGTCCATTTGGGACACCAGCTGTCGTTCCCGAACACAGGGCGCTGGCTGCGCTGGCTGCGCGGGCTCGGCGCGCCGAGCCAGGTGCTAATTATCGTGTCGAGCTACCCGGCCTGCTTGGCCTGGACAGCGGTCTGCCGGGCGGGGCGAGGCGGGCCGAGGCGAGGCGCCAAACAGTGGGCCGTAACCACGAGGACGACGGGGACGTGGCCGACGTGGACTCGGATATTCACAATGGAGACTTAGAAGGGTAGAACTACCCAAGTGCATTCGGCAGCTTCAGCTTCACGGCGCCGTCCACTGCAAATCCGAGCGTTTTGCCCGGATCTGGCCGATTCCGGGCAAAGCGCGGCGCGGGAAGCGGGTTTCCGGGCCAGCCGGCCGGTTCGCTCCGGGAGGAGGGCAGCCCACCCGGCCGGCATTATAAACTTCCGATCGACTTCCGATCGGGCCGCTTCCGCGGGCGGCGGCCGCCGGCCGGGTGGCGGCAAAACGGGTAGGCGGGTGGGAGACGCACAGTGGGCCAGAAGACCGGTGGAAGCGGTCAAAACTCTAGACGCGTTTTGAGCTCCAGAGTCGCTAAATGGGACTCGAATCGAACGTGTGACCCCACCAATGGATAGCTCTCCGAACGAGGAATCCATTGGTGGGGTCACACCTTCGATTCGAGTCCCACTTACTGAATCTGGAGCTGAAAACGTGTCTCGAGTTTTGGCCGCCTCCACCGGTCTTCTGGCCCACTGTGAGACGCAGCCTTTTTTCGCCAGCGAGACGAGACGCACGGCTGGTCTGCCAGTCGGCCCGCCAGTCGGTTTGCCCGGCAGAAGGCAGAAGGCATTGGCGGTTGCATCACCGACCGGATCGGTACCCACGCCGTGCCCGCTGCCGCCGTGCCCGGCGCCCCGTCCGGTCCGGTTTGGCGGCGCGGCGTGGCGGGGCGCGGCGGGGCCCACCGGCTCGGCGCGCCCACAGCCCACAGAGTAGTAGTGCCCCCACAGCCCCCCACAGCCCGCACGGAAAATTATTGCCTCCGCGTTGTCCGGCTGGGTGCAATGCAATGTTCCTGCTGTTGTGACAAAGTCACGGTAATCTTTATTTCGAGTGCGGTGTGGCCGGCGGATGGCCTGGCCAAGGGACTGCCACGACGACTGGATGTCGTTGGATGTGCCGACAAGTGCGTTCCGAGTCGCCGAGTCGTCAGGGGGAGGGAAGGGGGAAGTCCCGTTAGCGCCGCGCCAAACG